GCCTCCCAAGTGCTGGGATTAAAGGCATGCGCCACCATCGCCCGGCAAGACTATGTAGCTCTGGCTGTCCTGGAACTCACTATGTAAACCAGGATGGGTTCATACTCACAGATATCCACTTGCTCCTGCTTCCCAAGTTCTGGAATTAAAGGCATGTGCTGCTACACCTGGTTCATGTCTCCATCTTGATAGTTCCATCCTGGCCAGTTTGGGCCACTGCCAGCTGCCCAGTTGGCCTTGCTATATGAAGAACGAGAACTTCTCTTTCTGATGTGTGTATGGGGGCAGGACTCTGGCTTTTCAGGACCTTTGCCAGTTGTTGATTTGTGTTTCAGTTTTTTGTCCTTCAGTTTCCTAAGGTAAACAAGCATCAAGAATTGGGGTGGGGCTTTTTCTTTACTGGAGATATAGTAAATCATTTAGCATTTCTAAACTTTAGTTCCTTTAATTACTGGGAGAGCCAAATATAATCATTTGGTCTTATGGATTAGCAGAGATGATGATGGATATGTGAATTCTATTTGGTCTGGATCCCTAAAGGTCCATTAAACTGAAGCACTCTTTAGAATTCACCTTGCCAGTCTTTTGTTCATCCTGTGAGTTCTTGGAGCGTATTCTATTTCCTGCACTTGAGTTCCCTTGACATAGGCCTACTCTAACGAAAGCATCCCAGGCACAGATTCTTTTGACAAATAAGTGATTCTTCCCTGGGATATGTATTTTTTCCCCCTTTTTTCTCTCAAATTTACAAGGACAAAAACTCCCTAAGGTCCTACTGAGTGAAATTCTGAAAAGCCACAAACCTAGGCAGACTGGTTCCCTTTGGGGGTGGTGGTGGTGGTGGCATTTTGCAGACAACCAACCTCTTTCTGTCCTTGGGAAAAGCTCCTTGCAGTACATTGCATTCTTCTGTGCCTGTCTTCACTGTGTGGCTGGAAGTCAGAGGAAAGGAGTAGGTCAAAGGCTGTCTCAGGCAGACCTAAAAGGTGAAGCAAGGCTTTGTTATAAGAGCTGTGCCAAGCAGAGCAGAGCCTTAGTACTTCGTAGTTGTGTGCCTCTCTCCCAACCCCACAAAGGCACTGCACTAACACCAGGAAGTTTTCAAGGAACCTGGCTGCTTTTCTCCCAGGCAGTGAAAATATTTAAGTCAGCATTTACTTTCCCTTGCATGAGTGTTTCCCAGAATGCTGTGCTATGGCTGAGCCTTGCTTGGGTCAGTACCGGGGGCTCTGCCTCACCTAGCCAGCTGCACAGGAAGAAAACCATGGAAACAAAAGGCCTCTCTCTCACTCCCTCTCCCCCCAAACTGGGCCAGCAACTTCCCTCAGTTCTCATCATCCCTCACATTCACACTCTGTAGCAACTGATGTGT